CGTAGAACACTATACCTAAAATCTTTAGAATACACTTTCTAAAGATACATAGAATATTTACAAAAATGAAACCATATTCTGGACCATAAAGTAGGACTCAACATATTTCAACAGACTGAAACTGTACAGTTTGGCCTCTGACCACAGTACAATCAAGCTAGAGATATAGAGAGTAGCAAACGTCTCAGAAATAAAGATTATATAATGTCCCAAATTCAATGATGTTATAAATTTGGTATAAATAAATATAAGATTTGTTATAAAAACACACTGTTTTATGATGGAACTAAGGACAGGAAGAAGGACCAATAAAGGGAAATGATAGTCCTATGCAATTTAAGTAAAGCAACATGGCGCCCAATTTAGATTTGTTATAAAAACACACTGTTTTATGATGGAACTAAGGACAGGAAGAAGGACCAATAAAGGGAAATGATAGTCCTATCCAATTTAAGTAAAGCAACATGGTGCCCAATTTAATATTTCTATAAAATTTTAATATATGCTGAGTGCTAGGCACTTTTCTAGAAACTGGTGTTACAGCAGTGAATAAAACAGGACAAAAGCCCTCAGGAAGATTATAGTGCACTGGAGAGACAGAAAATAAAGTAAATAGATAAAACGTATGGTACATCATATACTGATAACTGCCATAGGAAAAAGGAAAACAGGTAAAGGAAATATAGAGAGTATTAGAGTAAGAGAGAAATTTAAAATAGGGGTTAGTCAAGGACTAATAGAATGATTTTGAGTACAGAACTGAAGAAAATGAGGAAAAAAGACATACGGGTCTCTTGGGAAAGAACAAGCATTTGCATCCCACGAAACAAGTATGAAGTCTTCGGAAGGAGAACATGCTGGTATGTTTGAAGAACCACAGGACACCAGCATGGCTGGAACAAAGTGAGCGAGGGAGAGAGCAACAGAAAGAGCTCAGAGAGGTCAAGGGAGCCAGACTGTGTGAAGCCTGAAAGACACTGAAATGACTCTGGCTGCCACTTTCTGGTGACGTAAGGATATCCCATGGAGGGTTCTGAGCAGAGACGCGATGTGATACAACCAGGATTTAACAGGATCAAACTAGTTTCCATGTTGAGAACTGACTGAGGGGATGGACAATGTGTGGAAGCAGGGAGAGTCTCAGGAAGCTGTGGTGATAATCCAAACTGGAT